GCTTGTAGACTTATTGAAGTGTTTTTCTGCTTTGGGCGACAGTCTTTGCACGACCAGAGCAATACAAGCACTTTCCTTCCAAGATAATTTGATGTCATCAGCCTGCAGCAACTTGTTTAAGGTGCCTTTTATTGGCTCGTGGTGAGCGTGCAGCTGCTCCACACGGGAAAAGCAGAAGCTGTGGTGCTGAAAGCGGCTCGCAGCGGTTTTCATTAATGTGTGGGGAAATTTCAGAAGGAGGAATATATCATATATAGATAACGCTGAGATTGATCACTTTGTTTAACCCCATGAGTCATAAAGTTACCAAAAATAATGTTTTTACACAAAACTTTCTCAGACCTCCCAAGATTCGGTCAAAGGCAGAAGAAGGACACCGTCTGCTGGTCAGGAAGAAGAAGGGTTCAGTAGAAACAATAGAATAGAATAGAATATTGATCCCAAAGAGGAAATGTATTTCTAGTTTAAAGGTCCAAGATCCAAACAGTACAGCCACCATATACATGCAAAGCACAACAAACCACAATCTGAGTAACGCTAAACATCAGTATAACTGTTATGCTGCGCTCAGTGACCTCATCAGTACAGACTGCTGTACAGATCACTGATGAACAAGGCACAGAGAAGCTCTTCATTTTCTAACAGAAGGTAACCGTTCATACTGCGAGTACAGAGTAACCCTCGTTGTAACACTTACTGTTAATAAAGAGTCAGGACTGTGATGGGCTTCGTGGCTGTGATTTTCATGGCTGTCTGCAACCTTAATCTCACTGTTACTGAGAGATTTCTAAACCGTGATGTTATTCCATATCTGATTACACAGAAGTGTCATTTCTTTATTTATTTAACATTTATTTAACCAGGAAGTCCTTTGAGGTTAACGCCTCTTTGTCAAGACGTCACACTGTTACAGTGTTACAAGTTTAAAGTTAAATATCTGCATTTAAAGTAATAAATAAGCAAAAACAGGAGAACTCAAAGTAAAAGCAAAGCATCTACAGATCTCCAGCTGAGCAGCACCTGAATGTCCCACAGGACCCCAGAAGCTATAATAGTGATCTAAGAAAAAACAGGCTCGCCAAATATAGTTCAATACATCTCCAAAAGTTGATTCTGTTCATCTGGACGTAGCGTTTTCTGGGAGAAATGTTTTGTGACTCATCCAGGTGACTTCTTCAGTCTCTGACTGCAGGTTTCCCCAATCTTATAAACAGTATATTTGCATAATGACTGAAACCAGCCCACTGAAGGAACAATGGGCTGGGAGGTCAGTTCCTTAATCTTAATTATGCAAATTCTCATGACCATTGATCAACAACCACTGATCAAAGCCCACTGATCAATAGCAACTCTCTGTGAATGAGTCCCATTCACAGAGAGTTGGGGAATGGCTGCAATCACAGCATTGTAAGATGGCGAAAGATGTACCCTTAGGCCCCCTCCTCGATTCAGAGATGGTCTTTCCCTTTTCACGTAAATGGCCTCCTTGACTCCACGCTTAAACCAGCGTTCCTCCCTGTCCAGGATGATAGTTCAATACAGTTTCAGTCATAATATAAATGACAGAAAAACCTTAATATCACAGTGGCTAACACGGCCGTCTACTAAGAATATGGAATACAATGCAAATGTATTACGTATGTATCATATGTTTGTTTTCATCAGAAAAACTTGTGACAGCAGCAGAGGACAGGGAGGCGTTAACCTGCCCCTCAGCATGTGGGGAGGAGATACAATAACAAGGCGCACATTATAATCATTACCAAGAGAGGACGAGCGGCCGTGCGAGTGCGGTGGGAGGACAAAGATGGGTTTGCTCTGGGGAAGGACACCGTGGGGACAGTGGGATGTTTTAAAGGTCAAAACTAAGATTTGTCCTTTTTTCATGCTTTTTAGCTTAAAAGTGTTTCACACAATAAAAGCGGTGACATTTTGCATGTTCATCACTTTAAGTTAAGGTCTAGGCTGGTTACAGCTGTACGAGAAGGCTCTGTGCAGAGATCAGTGGCAGCTTGGATAGCTTGGTGTCTCTGTAGACTGGCTACAACACACAGAGACAGAAACCTGCTGGGGGTTTATTTGTTTTTGTTAAAATGTTGAAATATTAGAATTCTCTCACCAAAACAGGCTTTTAGTGAAGCTGAGCTCAGAGTAAGGCTCCGACACAGTTCAGAGGTCAGGTTCAGTTGAATTAGTTGAGGTGAAGCCTCGCAGACGACTGCTGCTGCTCCTCTGTGATTATGATCTGTCAGCAGAAGCAGCCACGACCTAATGGCAAAATTAGCTTTAGGGACCAACCTGTTAACTTCAATTCAATTCAATTCAATTTTATTTATATAGCGCCAGATCACAACAAATGTCGCCTCAAGGCGCTTAAACGCTAACGTGTTCATCTCTTCTGTAAAGTTGGACATTTTAAAATGGGAGGCTTTGGGAACTGACTCATCTGTGGAAATAGCCACAAGGACCTGATGTATTTGGCACTTTTTGGTTTAATTTTCTTGCTTTCAGCAGATTTAATCCATCAGTCCTTCCATTTGCTTTTATTTATCCAGGGCTGGGTCACAGGGCAACAACATAAGCAGAGAAGCCCAGACCTCCTCCCCCTCAGACACTTCCTCAGGCTTATCCAGGGGAGCACCAATATAATAAAACTCCAAAATCTAATCATCATAAGGATTACTATAAGCAGATATCATTAATGTGCACCGCAGCGAGGCAGTGCTTCTTAATTCGAGCCTTCCCTTCCCTCGTTTAGGCTCCAGCACCTTGGCAACCATGGCTTTAAAAGATGATTTGAACAGCGTCCGACTGATCGCTGACCTTATGTTAAATTGGAGAAAATCTATTTTGGAGAAACAAGATGCGCTCTTGTGGGTTCAGTATTTGGCGTCTTAATTAGGTTATTTTAATAGTATTGCACAGATAAATTGGTGCATCCAAGTTTCCCCAGCAAATAACTGTATTTACAGCAGCGGGAGGGTCTGTGTGGGAATGACTGAAAACAATGTTCCTAATGAAGGGATGTGTCATATGGCTCAGTGGTTTTAAAAGTAGACAACAGCTCTTTAGTTCAGGGGAAAAAAGTTACAAAAATGTTTTATTTCATAGAGTTTTAGAAAGTAAAAATAAATAATATTAGCAGGCTGAAGCTTTTTAAGTCAGATTGGATCGTGGGTATGTATTTGTACTAGTTAGTGGATTTCCCTCCTCCCTCTCCTTCATCTTTTCTCCTTCATCACCAAACTCGTCTTCTTACTTTCTTAACGGTGACTCACAAAGCTGCACCACACTGTGTATCTGTCTCTGTTTCAAACATAGTCATTAACTGTTTTTGTTGCTCCTGCCATCAAAGAAACGCACAGTCACTTTTATTTAATTGCTCGTTTGTGCCAGTTATTGTTGGCTATTGTCCACCGCTGCACCCCAGGATTAAAACAAAGGGAAACCCTTTGCAGTATGTTAACAATTCAGCTGTTATGCAAACATGAGGGTTTGCTTTTCCTAGGACACGAAACACTGAGAATCATTACACAATCGCAACGCACCCGTTTTAGTATCCACCTCTGTCCTTACCTGTTAGATAAATGTTTGGGTTTTTTAATCATTTGTAATGACTAACAAGAAACCCTGCACTTCTTTCTTCTGCCCCCTCATTTTCTCTCGATTAAACTCAATATTTTCACCTCCTCAGTTTATCAGCCACGTCGTGACTCCCAGCACAGCAGAGGACTCTGTCCCTCTCCCAGTTTCAAGTTGCTTTATTGCCTTTCCATGTAAATACATCTCTGGTGCCAAAGCATGTGAAGGAAGATAGAGGGGAAAAATTAAAAATAAGCATTGGGGATGCCTGTACTGGCTGACTGGCCATCGATCACAGGCTGGTTTGATTCCTGGCTCTTCCCGTCCAGATGTCTTCCTGTATTTAACTAAGATGCAGAGCAAGTAAATTCTTCTCTTGGTGTATTCGGTAATACCTAATAACAGAATGATCCTCCAGAACGCACTGTAGTCCACAGCAGGGGTGGAACATATGTCTTGAGTAGCTGTCTGATATGCAAAAGAAGAGAAATAACAGATGCGTCTGTTTAAAAGTGCAGCCAAACAAACTCACCTGTGAGAATTTAATGTGAAACTTTCTCCGAACAAAGTTCAAAACTCTCAGGAGAATGAAAATATGCACTTTCACCATCCTGTGAATTCTGCCTCACGCTGCATGCGTTGCTCCCTGAGTGGTAACTACACATTGCAAATAAGTTTACTCAGTCATCTCCTACATTGTATCTGATCATCTGTAAATTCCTTTTCATGCTCACCAGGTGAAAACCTCTGCCTGTAGTTCTGATTCTGCTGGAGAATCTCATAGGATGATCACAAACAAGTTCTGCGTGTACTCTCAGGCTGCACAGGAAGTCTTATATTTATGTACTTATACTGCTTATACTGTACGTCTCAAGTATTTTCAACAAGAGAGGAGGAAGTCCCTGAATGGTTGTTGCTATGGTTAGCTGTGGCTCATTAGGTAGAGCAGCGTTGTCCATTAATTGATGGGTGAGTGGTATGATCCCTGGCTCCTGCAGTACAGGAGCGACATATGGATCATCCATGAATATGTGAATATGTATGTGAATGAATAAAGTGGTTTAATATAACCACTAATATAAATGCCAATCAATTTTTGTATCCAAGTTTTTTCCTCGATTCAGCAGAGGTCATAAAGTACAAAGTACCAGAAAGTGCCAAACCCGCTTTCCAACTTGCAAATATATTCATGCAGCTCAGTTTGTATTTTGCACATGCATAGAAAAAAGCACATCTCCTTTTTGACACTTTTGTGAGACGCATCGTTCTTTTATCTCCACATCTCTTCTTTCTCTGCTTTCAAATTCTGTATACAGTATGTTCAGTAGAGACACACAGACTGAGGACATTCATGTCTGTCTTCCTCACTGTTTGACAGAAGTACAAGAATCTGAGTTTCTCCTTCTTTTTCCCAACAGAAAGACCGTTTTGTGAAGCTCCTGGATCAGCTGCACAACTCCCTGCGTATCGATCTCTCCATGTACAGAGTGAGTCGGAGCTTCCAGCTGCTGATAATAGTTTCTTAACTGCAAACAGAGAATACGGCTTCAATGGATCTCAGGAGAATTTGTGTTTTCAGTCGTTCACAAGATAGCACATGATAGAGGGCAGAAGTCAAACTAGACTGCACGGACTACTTACTACATATTTCACCCCCTTCTGCTGTAAGGCAGTTTCCTTATTTCCTGCCAAAAATAACAATAAAAAAAATCACCCAGCTGTTGTCCGTTTTCTTAATTTTAAGTTAATTCTGGACCTACAGAAATTTGTGAATATAGCATTGGTTTCCATTTGTAGCCAAACGTTTTGCT